TCTCAAGAAGCTGAAGATATGGCTCTTCCCGAGATTTAGATATGAACACCAGTTGTAAAGGTGATGACACACTTTGAGGGAAAACTAGCAGAATATGTCCCATATTTTATAAAAATCTCTATTACCTTGAAAGAGTCTTTTTTTTTAAGATTTTTTATTTATTTGTTCATGAGAGACACACACACACACACACACACACACAGAGAGAGAGAGAGAGAGAGAGAGAGAGAGAGAGAGAGAGAGGCAGAGACACAGGTAGAGGGAGAAGCAGGCTCCATGTAGGGAGCCCAACGTGGGACTCGATCCCGGAACTCCGGGATCATGCCCTGGGCTGAAGGTGGCGCTAAACCGCTGAGCCACCCAGGGTGCCCACCTTGAAAGAGTCTTAAAACTCAGTGGTGGATAAGAGTCTGGCTTCCTATGTAGGTGCTTTCTTCTGTATCCGGCTATGCATTTTCTGCCCAAAGCTAAGCAACTAGGTTTAGAATCTCTTTGGTTGTCAAGTAGTTATTTATTTATTGATTGATTGATTGATTGATTTCAAGTAGTTTTTTTATTTGCTGATCTGAAAATACGATTTCTTCCAAAGGAGCAGCTTCTAAATGTTTTGAAGTTTTATCTTAATTTTTATTTTAAGATTTTATTTAATTATTTGAAACAGAGAAAGCATAAGCAGGGGAGAGAGGTAGAGGGAGAGGGAGAAGCAGGCACCCCACTGAGCAGGAAGCCCAATGTGGGACTCAGTCTCAGGACCCTGAGATCATAACCTGAGCCGAAGGCAGACGTTTAACCAACTAAACCACCCAGGCGCCCGATCTTAATTTTTAAACTTAAAACATTTTGCTTTTTATTCACTCATCAAATAATTATTTAGTACTAATGTGTATATATATGTATGTATATATATACACATATATATATCATATATCAGCCTCTATGCTAGGCACTGGGGGTACACAGGTGTATAAAAAGGACATAGTTTTTTCCTTCAGGGAATTTTTACATATACACATATAATTATAGAAAGATTAAACTTTTAATGACACAAAGACAAAAAATGAAACATATAATTTTACAAAGGCTTCTAATTACAATTGATAAGACTTGTGGAGGAAAAGTGCAAAGCTATTCTCATCTGGGAAATGAGGTAGTAAAGCTTTCCTGGGGAAATGACATTTAATTGGGACTTGAAGTATTGGTTGGAAGGAGCCAAACCCATGGCAGTGGGTACAAGGAGCTGTAAAGTATGTGCAAAGGAATATTCAGGGAAGTGGAAAGACAGGTCTTGACACAGGGAGAGTCAAGTGAGAAGAGGATATGAGCCAGCATATCTAGGTCTTTGTGATCATTGTTGATGATGCTGGATTTTATCTTACAAAAAACAGGCGGCATTCAAGAAGTTTTCAGCTGGAAAGTGACATGACTAGATGTGTGTTTCTCAGTAGTCTTTCAAATTGGCTCTCTGGTGGAGAATGAGAGTAAGGAAACACAACCTTAGGCAGGGTGATATTTTAGGTGATGATGGTGCTGGGATTCAGAAAGTGGAAATGGATTTGGAGATGAGCAAATGGATTCACTTATGAAGAAATATTTGAGCAGAAAACTGGATTGAGCTTGGTGACTGGCTGAAGAAACCTTATAAGCCCGGGGCGCAATGTGGTGTGGGTTCAGCACAGTATCACACAGAAATAATTATTATTTCTGCCGTAAGACAGAAGCATTTCAGAGATTAACTCAGGCTTTTGAGGAAATGCCACAGATCTTTATAGTATTATTTTTAATGCACAGCAAAACTTCTTTAAGAATCCTCTTTTGCCATCTCTCACTCTCAAGGTCTTTCTCACACTTAGGAAGAAGCATAAAAACAAAACTCTCCTCTCCGTGAATGCACTAACATTCTCAAGCATCCCTCTGAAGTGACTTCTCATTCCACCTCAGCTCTTCATGATGGGGGTTTATGTAGCCTTCGTGGCTTCTGAAATCCTTCTCCCTTTGCTCAGTTTTGGGATTCTGCATAGGAGAGCACAGCTCCAAAATGAATTCAGCAAACAAAAGCAGAGAGATTGGAGGGATGACTGTGTTTGCTGTTGTCTCTCTGCATAGTCAAATGTGTTTTGTGAGCAGAGAAATGTGTGTGTTTAGATTGGTAGATGAGGGCCCATTTATGGAGATGGGAAGAGGAAAAGAGAAGGTGTTAGTGAAAACATGTGATCATGTGAATGTGTTGAGTCTAGGCTGCCTTTTGGTGGTTTAGGGTAGCTGTTCAGGGGCCTGGTGTGCTGAGAGCTGCCTTTTACTGCCTTGCGAGAGTCAATTGTCAAATTTTCAAAAATTTCAAACACAGCCACTAAAAAACTAAATTGTACAAAAGTACAGTTAAATAATTGTATTAAAAACAAAGGTAATAAATACACTAAAAACTCAACATTATGTATATTTTACTGTTATGTATGAAGTTCCATGTCTATAGTAACAGTAAGCGGAAACACCAGATAAGGGCATGCAAGTGCACATCTCTTGCCTTTAATGACATCAGATTGGTAGCTGGAATTCAGCCACATATGCAGTATTTAAACTACAAAAAATCGGCAAAAGCTATGAATCAAGGGCTTCCCCTCTCCAATACCACATCACTAAGAGACAACTGGATAAATACACGTGGGCCCAGGAGATGGATCTACAGTGGAGATACTGTTGTAGAAGAAATCAGAATGTAGGTATGGGGTGGTGGCTTCATGGACTTACAACAAGATCCCACACTTAGGAACGTCCCCATGTTCGGTTTAATGCTTTGCTGTTGCCATCTTGATATTCATAATCTTTGAACAAGGGGCAACAAGTTTTCGTTTTGCACAGGGCTGGTATAAGGTGTTAGAAAGGTTTGGGTGGCCTGGGGGTTGCTTGATTTACTGCCTTCCATCCCTCAAAACAGGAACTCTATTTTACTCACTGGCTTGGTAGCATATTTGCACAGATATTCTCCTCATGCATTCTCTTAACCTGTGCATTCTTTACAACTGGCTCACAAAATTCCTTTCTTTTTCCTCTCTGTATTATTCTTTCTCTTCTCTCTGGTCTTTTTTTGGGAAAAAAAAAAGTTGTTCACTTTCCTGGCATTAATGTATTAGGTAACTTGAATAAAAATGTCTCTGCTCCAGATTGCAATGCTTTATACGTTCACCTTTTAGATTAACATGACGTGGTGGTCAAGGTAGTTCTGGAATCACAGAGAACTAGGCTTGAATTTTTGTGTGCGACCCCAGATACATTTCTTCGGTTTCTCTACCCCTCGGGTTCCTCATCTGAGTAAAGAAAAATGGTCATTGTGAGCATTACATCAGATTATCTACATCAAGACCCTGATGCAATGCCTGCTTCATGGCAAACATTCAATTAATAGTAGTTAATTATCAATATGACTTTTGTTCATATATGGCAGTTTGGAACAGCCAGTAATGAGGTTTGCACAGGCCACGAAGCAGCATGGTCGTAGGAGGAATAAAGGGCGTCCCGGCAGAACCGAGCAAGGATGATTTCAACTGTTGATGGAGAATTTCCCTGGCCCCGTAATATGTATGCCCCAGAGTGGACTGGACAACACCTCTTTAGTGCATTTCCACTCGCGTACTCATGCACTGACCCAATCTACACGAATTGCATGAATGTGGGGTCTTGGGCATGGAGAGCTAGCTGTTGAGCCACCGGGCCTTCTGGAGGCAGCCTGAAAGCCTCTTCCCAGCATAAGGTTAGGAGGTGGAAGGTACTCCAGATATTGCAGGCTGGCTGTATCCCCGACCTCTAGCATAGGGCCTGGCTCACAGTGGGCGACCATTTATGTCAGGACTGCAGGATAAGGCCACCCAGGCTGCCCCTCCACCCCCGCCACCCCCGACTTCCAACCGTCTCTGGGGAGCCCCCTGGCAAAGCCTCCGGGACTCGGGCGCGCGCCAGGACCGCTTCACGGACTCGTTTCCGCGCGTGGCTGCAGTCGCTATGGCAACGGCGAGAAGTAACAAGTCCACCCCCCTCCCCCCGGGACTAGCAAGGCCCGCGGAGGCAACGGCAGCGGAGGAACAGCGGGAGCGCCGCGCCGCCGCCGGGTTCCAGCGGTGCCAGCCCAGCCGCCGCGTCCCCGCCGCCCGGCCCCGCCCGGCGCTTGCCCTGGCCGCCCCTCCCCCAGCCGGCCCTCGAGTGTCGCCAGGTACCCCCGCGGCGGGGGCGCGTCCCCGGGGACCCCACCCTCCGCCTCCCGCCCTGGGACTCGGCTGCGCGCCCCGGCGTTCAAACGGTGCCCGCGGGACCTCCGCCGGCGCTGGCGCGGAGGGTCTCGGAGGGGGCCAGGGGTCCGGGAAGCTCCTGCCTCCTCCGTCGCCCCCTCCTCCTGCCTTTTCTCTCTCAACGCGCGTTAAGCTATTATTGTGGCGCAAATTAAAACCTGGGCGATTCCAGCCAGAATGTTATTTGCTTTCATTTGGGGAGCAAGCAGGCCATTGGGGGGTGAGGCGGCGAGGAGGGAAAAGACAAGGGATTTGGAGGAGTGGCACGAATAGGACGTGAGCAGTGGAGCTGGAGCATCTTTCCAATGGGTGCGTGCGTAGGAGCGCGCCTGCCCACCTCCGCCTCGCGCGCCCCTCGGTGGGCGGGCGTCAAGCGCTCCCGGCGCCCGGGTCCTGAGGCTACACCTGGGCTCGGCGCTTAGCGTGCGGGGCAGGTGTGCTGCGCGCCCGGCGAGCGCTGATTGGCTGTGCAGACTCCGGTGAAATACCTGGACGAGGGCCGTGAGTCCCGCCACCCGCAGGGTCTCCGCGGGGCGCAAGCCGGGCGCACCTCAGCCACTCCGCCTTTTTTTTTTTTTTTTTTTTTTTTTTTTTTTTACCGCGGGCTTGTCTGTTTCGCGTTGGTTCCAGGCGGCCCCCGCCGGTGCGCGCCGTGAGGCAGCCGGGCAGCAGAGCAGAGGCACGTCCCCGGAGAAGCCCGCCGGGCGCGTCCCCACGGGGAGGATGAGCGGCAGCAGCGCCAGGTCCAGCCACCTGTCCCAGCCGGTCGTGAAGAGCGTGCTGGTGTACCGCAACGGGGACCCTTTCTTCGCGGGGCGCCGCGTGGTCATCCACGAGAAGAAAGTGTCCAGCTTCGACGTGTTTCTGAAAGAGGTGACGGGCGGTGTTCAGGCGCCGTTTGGGGCGGTCAGGAACATCTACACGCCGCGGACCGGCCACCGCATCCGGAAGCTGGACCAGCTCCAGAGCGGGGGCAACTACGTGGCCGGGGGTCAGGAAGCCTTCAAGAAGCTCAAGTGAGTCGGTCCGTCTGTCCTCGCCGCCCAGCACCTAAGGTTGCACGCAGGTGTGCGGTGCGCTTGGGCCGGGTCCGGAGCCCCGCGTCGCCCGCCCTCGGCGGCCTCCCCGCGCTCCCGCTGCAGCCGGGCTGGGGCTGGGGCTGGGGCTGGGGCTGGGGCTGGGGGATTGAAAATGGGACCCGAGAAGGAATTTCACTCGGCGAGCGGGAGGAACAGGAATCTTAGCAAAGTATTCAGTGACCAAACTGGTACTTGACAATTTTCTGTTGTTTTTTTTTTTCCCCCTTTTCTTGGCACCTACTTTTTTGAGTTTAAATAATGATTTCTTAAAAATTATTTAGAAGTGTTGGATACTATCTACTCACAAGAGGAGAAAATTGCTTTCTGCATATGGACACCCCCCCCCCCGTTCAATTTCTTCCAACTTTTCCTTCCAAGTAGAAGTAGAAGCCTTTTTGGTAACTGACTATGTCCCACTGTTGTGACCCTTCTCCCACGGCCTGCGTGTCTATGCTATGAACATAATGCTTGTGGCTCGCTGTATTTGTCTATATGTCTGTCTTTAGGTACTTGATGGCTAGATCTTCATGCGCCGGGGATCAGCATTGGTGCTTATTCCTAGTTCCTGGCAGGGAGCTCACTCACAGTAGGTGTGCAGGGAGTTAAGCTGTGCTTAGATCTGTGAAGGGAACAAGGATGTAACTCCTCGTCTTTAAGAATTTGAGACTAACAGGACAGACCCAAGAGGCACACTAATAATTTTAATGTAAGGTACAAAGGAATAATTGCAATGGGAAAAATAAAGTTATGCAGAAATTCACAGTTGAGGGACATTGTGGGGGTGGGTATTGCAGGATAGGTAGAATTTAATATTCCATAGGACTATTTATTTAATATTGTATTTATTTATTTGTGAGAGACACACAAAGAGAGGCAGAGACACAGGCAGAGGGAGAAGCAGACCCCCTGCAGGGAGCCTGATGTGGGACTCCATCCCAGGACCTGTGCTCAACCACTGAGCCACCAGGTGCCCCTCCACAGGACTTTTTTAAAAAGCTCTATTGAGAGCTCTTTCACATAAGGTAAACTTTATGTATTTCAGTCATTTTTAGTGGGTTCATGGAGTTGTACAACCATGATTACAAGCTAATGTTGGAACATTTCCATCACTCCAAAATGAAACCCCATTCCTCCCAGTTTCCCTTTCTGCCCATCCCCTGGCAACTGCTAATCTACTCTCTGTCTCTGTGGATTTGTTTGTTCTGGATATTTCGGATCAATGGTATCATACCGTATTTGGCCTTTTCTTTTTCTGGCCTCTTTCACTTGGCTCATCCATGTTTTCCAGGCATATCCTTGTGTAGTATGTATCAGCACTTTATTCTTTGTATTGTTGAGTAATATTCCATGGTATGGGTATGCCACATTGTGTTTATCCATTGATAGACATTTGGGTTGTTTCACTTTGGGCTGTTATGAAATAACGCTGCTAGCAACAATCGTGTACAAGTTTTCATTTTCTTGGTTATATACCTGGGAGTAGAATTACTGAACCACTTGGAAGCTTTCCATTTCATAGTTTTTAATTGAAATTCAGCTTGGATCACAGGATAACAAAAAAATGTTTACTGTAAAGCTTGTACTTGTGAATTCTAATTTTCACTATATAGAAGTATTTCCCCAAATGTCACTAATCTTGTCTAATATTATTTTTCTTTTCCCGAATGTGCTTAAACTGATTTCTAAAAGTGTTCTTCCTTTTTTCTGCCAGGCATTCTTTTTAAAGCAGGGTGATAGATGCATTTGGATTTAGTTTTCCCTTCTTGGAAACTTCCTTTAGCACACTTTGTCTATCTTCATAGACAAGAACTAAATGAAGTGATGTGTTTCAAAGACATTTAGAACTTAAAGATCAGGAGACATAAGGCTGAGTTGTTCATTAGCTATGTATCCTTGGGCAAGCCACTTGACTCAGCTTCCTGATATGGACAAAGAGCATAACCATTCCCGCCTCACAGGGTTTGTTAGAAAAGTGAATACTATGGATGTGAACGTGCTTTGTAAACATCAAAATGTCATATAAATACAAAGCATCACTATCCAGTTCCTTTCACCATGTTTTTTGTTGATTTTTTAAATTAAATAATCCCCATAAAAAAGCAGTTTCGTGGGAATGGAGATCTGTTTTGGAATCTACAGCCCAAATTTGCAGACTCACTTTTGTAACTCATATTCTCTTTTGTTTGCTTGGCATTATCAACTCAAAAGATAAAAACAGGTCCAGTTCCAAACCAAATAAAAAGTGTACTTCAAGTCATTCTTTATATAGATATAAGGGATTTGCATGGTTATTTTTGCCTTTAATTCACATACAAAAAAATACCTGAGTCTGTTATAGTGGTTTCCATGGTTAGTTTTTACATGCTGACAGATGAATAGTTTATTTATTTCTGTTAAAGTGGTAGTATCTATGGTTATAATGATATAAGCCAAGAAGATTTAAAAGCTGGATATATTTGAAGCTTAGCAGTTGCAAATTTACAAAACAATTGAGGCAACTGGCAGGATGAAAGAAAGCCCAGAAGATATTGAAGGTAATTTATGTCATTTAGGCCCTACATGATGTTGGGGAAATTTAGCAATGGTAGAAAAAAATTATTCAAATGAAAATGATCAACTTCCTTCTTGAATTTCTTTTACCCAGATTTTTCCTAATATTTTTGAAACCATAATTAGACTTGAGGTAGCTATTAAACTTTTATTTTATAGTGGAGAATTCTAGAGATGGTTATCTTCCCTAAAGTTTTTCTGTGTGTTTCTGAACATTGACTCTACTTCACTAATCATGTAGATCTGAGATCACTTTTCTGCACATGGCAGTTAAGCTGTTTTGCTCCTACGGCAGAAATCAATCCCGGTAGATCTGCAAAAGAGCCATTTTATTGCTAAACAGAGGGAGTTTTGCAATATTTTATGTAAACACTGTTTATATAAGAAAAACATGATTTCTAGTAGCATTGATTGACTAAAGCATTCTATCAAAAAAATGCAAACAACAATAATAAAATACGGCTAAAATTAACTCTTAGTATAAATTCTTTTTTGCCAACTCAACAATTATGTAGTTGAGGTATCTTTGTATCCCTGGTTATAAATGAAATGCACCTGCTCTGTGTGAAGGATAATGGAACCAGATCACAGTGATGGACTTAGGGCTTGACGGTGACAAAAGTGTAGCTTGCAGGTTGTGTTTATGCTATATCTGAAGAACGATCACAAGTTAATATCTATAGCAAGTAGGAGTTTAATAACAGGGGTCTCCAGAGGTTAACTAGTCCACCCATGTGCATGGATTTAGCTGAATCAATGCCTAAGCTATCCCATGTGGCTGAACATTTCCATATCAAGAAAGTGTCTTCATAGGAAAGAAAATTCCGCAGCGTTTCATAGATGGTCTAATGCACACTACCAGTACTTTCTTTGTTTTGACCTAAAGGCTGTGATTAATGGAACTATTAAGGACCTGTACACACAAACCACTCTTTATATCAAAAGTGGTATAAGAATTAGAAATACCATGTATATGGTCAGGGGCCAGCCACCGTGGGGGAAAAATGTTCCCTCTAAGAAGTGTGTGTTTCTAAGACTTCAATTTCATTGAAGTTGGGAGAAGAAGACAGTGTATCAGCTCTGGTTGGTGATGCTCAAAGCTGTTCCTGCTACCATAATTGCTTTTGATTAAGGAGCTATTGATCTTTGCTTTAGGCTTACATATTTCCTATGGCTTGCTTTACTTTTTAAAAATTTTAATAAGAAATTTACATAATGACTCAAAAGCAACAAAAGAAACCCTTACTGTTTTTTTTTTCCTCCCCCAGTTACTTGGACATAGGAGAAATGAAGAAGAGACCTATGGAAGTTGTTAATACAGAGGTAATGCGAATAATATTTTGAAGGTTCAAGTAAATAGCAATGCCATTTTTGCATTTCTTATAGCATGTCTTAGGATTTAGACGGCATTCTAATTATTTATAGACAAAGGTATATATTTCTTAGGTTTTGCTTACGTTATAGCTGAAGAATGACCACTAGTTACTATCAGTAACAAGTTGTAAAAAGTGTATCAGTGAATTGGTTCTGGATGTAATTTTGTTTGAAGGATATACAACTGTTCAAAGTAGGCAGACCTTGCTTGAAATTAGTAACCAAGGCCAAATTTCTGTGATAGAATATGAGGTATGTGAATTCTTTAAACATGAGCTCTGCTCATGGATTCTTTGTCTTTGATGAAGATGCGGGCAAAGTGCAACAGGTATGCAATATATTTTTCTTATTTACTTTCTTCAAAAGATTATCCTTCACAGGGGATGCATTCACGAGGACTCTAGTTAATTTAATTTGCTGACTGTTCTTCCACTGAGGGGCAATAGCTCTTGGTGTCCTTTATTGTGGGTCTGTGTCCCAGCCCCCCAGACAAGGTTCTGACTTATAGGTGCACATGTTACCTGTGAGAAACCCGCCCCTTCCCTCTAACTAGGAGACTGCATCTCTTCTGCTTTATTTCTTCCTGGTGATTCCCTTCTCTTCTCTTTTCTTCTAACTATGCAGACCCAGCTGTAGCCTTTCTTTTCTTCTCAGTTCTTCCCCATAAAGTTTTGTGGAGGAGATAAAGAGAGAGCAGTAGAAGAAGTTTGGAGATGCAGAGGAGATGGGAGACGGAGGTGCTCTTTGACTATCCAAGCCCTACTCTCCCTCTTGTTCCCCTGAGGCCCTCTCTCCCACTGCTATCCTCCCAGCCTAGATAGGGATGTATTCATTGCCCTCACTTTGCATTCCTGGTCTTGATCTTCAATGCAGAGACCCTCCTCCTGGAGTCACACCATGACTACACTCAATGCCTGCTGTGAGCCAGGGGAGCCCCTAATTTCATTGCCAGCAAGGGAGAGTTTTGGGTTCCTGGCATCCCAGAAGGGAAGTGTGGATGCATTTGCTCATAAAGATATCACTTTAACTATTGGCTCTGCAGGATTATCCCTGATGTTTGACATAGGGTGCAAGGTTTTGTGAACTGTTCTGAGAACGTATTATGTGTATAATTCTTACCAGGAGCAGGGGAGTACCCCTCTCTTTCCCATGGCTGATTTCCAATCAAACTTGTAGGATTCAACAAGTTCAAAGTCAGAGGACTATCTAGGAACAGACTTGATAGACACTGGCCTTTCACAAAAATTATAGATGCTTTCTTGATTTAAGCTGGTGATTTCATTCAATGTTCGAGTCAATCGAGAAAAGATTGCATACCTTGTCAAAGGCTATTGACTGCTCTTTGTTGGAGGAAGAGAACATATCTTATTCCCAGTCACAGGGAGGGGTTCACAGAATTCTTGAAGTGAGTCTAGAACATGATGAATACATCAATTAGGAGGGTGGAGAGCAGTTTCAAGGAGGGATGTTTCAGCACAGTGGTAGCACAGACCATGCTTATTCAGAGATGTTCCAGTAGAAAGGATGAGTAAGGTTATTTATCAAAATCCGGGTCATTTCCCTCAAAAATGAGGTGATGTCATACTGTTTGAGTTGTCTGTGTTGGCGACGTGATAAAGGCCATCACATCAGCGTACATGATTCAGTCATCCTAATTGCTCAACACATCAATTCTAAGAATTCCCCGCAAGTGTTAGTGTAGAAAGACCCTTTATCATTCAGAGGCATTCTGCTGGATGTGTCACCTTGTGTCCTAGCCACTGTGGCTCCGTTTGGACACGATGGATTCTGGGAGTCAGAGACGACATTCCTTCCCTTCTTCCAGAGCACCCTCACCCAAGTCCATCATATGATCTGGGTGCTCTTTAGACAGTTAATAATTTAGACACAATGGAATCCCTTGCTGACCACAGGTCACAGTAATGAGAACGTGCATGTCCCCTTGACATTTGAAGTCCTTTTGTGGTTTCTGTCATTTTCTGTTCTATGAGGCTCATCTTTGAAGAGATGCTAAAAGGACAGCTAGTCCTGTTCCTCTTGCTCTTTGTGGCCATATCACTAGGATGGAGAAAGGTAGAGCTCTGGTGGACCTCTTCCACTAGCCCCAGAGAAGTACATGGTCCTCTTTGGCCAGCACTTTGGGTGGCAGGAGGAAAGGGGGAGAAGAGAAAGGAGATAAAGATTAGAAATCAAGAAGGTGCATCTGTGGGAGTTTGCACCTGCTCCAAGGTGGGGCAGCACTGTCACTGTGGGCTCAGAGAAGACCTCCCTTGTCTCCCTACATGTGGGTCCTGCTTTTACTAACATCCAGATAAAGGAAGCTCCTAGGTCAGGTTTGCATTCTTGCTCCCGGTCCTCAAGCATTTTCTAGTTGCATTCTTATCTTTCATCCCATCCTCCCTCCATCAGTTGTGGTCTTAATAAAAATGGGTTGCTCATCTTTTGACCTTGGTGGCACATCTTTTATTCTCCATCTTCTCCTTGCTTCCTTCTCCCCTCCTCTCAGCCCAGGTGCAGATCTCTTGCGATATATCCATATACCAAGTCAACTCACCAGCTTTTCTCTTTCCTCTGCTACCTAAGCCGGCTGTGGGGGTCCTCTGTTGGCAAGTGCTAGAAGCCTCTCATCGGCACGAAACACCTTTCCTTTTCCTTACCAGCATGCACTGTGCTTTTGCCCTGAATGAGCTTCTCCTTGCATTTCTATCTCATCTCTTTTGCTTTCATGGGATTAGATGCCTAAACTGTGCAGCACAGTAGGCAGAGTGCTGGGAGCAAAACTCAACAAGACATGTGTAACCTCTCAGCCTCAGGAATTGATAGTCTTGGTGAACAGATGGATGTGTGAACATCTCTAGCACCAGAGGATTAGTGATTCAATTCAGAGGGATTCAGTCCAGTGTGTGTGGAGCCGTTTAAGCACAGTTGGCTCCATCATGTTGCAACAGAGCCCTTGTGAACCCTTCAAACGGAGGCTCCCCCTCTTGGACACAGAGTTGCCCTTTTGCTGGTCATCCTGCCTGGCATAGGGCATCCTTCAGACGAATAGCTGTCTCGCATGCACAACCTGTTCTTCCACGTGCAGGGCCTCGATGCACATCGTGCAGGAGAGGTGAGCAGACAGCTCGGCCCCAGAGAGTATGTGGCAGGTTGGGGTCTGTGCGGGGCCTTGGGCGGCACTGGAGACTTTGCCACTCTCTCTCTGGAGGGATGTAGAGTCTAGGGGAGGAGATGGGGTATGTGTGTGTGTGCAAATCATCCTGTTATTCCCCAGGGTGCTGGCCCAAAGGTTTGCTCAGAGGACTGAGGAACTGAAGGTGGGCTCAGGCTTATGGGTCAGGACTGTCTACTGTGGGGCTGTTTCCCCTAGATGAAGGCTCCAAGGGCATCCCTATCTACAGCTTGATTAATGGGAATTAATTAATACTTAGATCTGTGTGAGAGGCAGAGCCTGTCTCTTGCCTCAAGAGTGGAGGCCATCTGGGCTAGATGAGAGACGGGGCAGCCTTGCCCTCAGTGAGGCTTGGAGGATGGACCCACAGCAAGGCGGCTGCAAGGTGAGCAGAGGCACTGCATGTCCTGCAGGCGTACAGCAGCTCCAGGCTGCTATCAGGATGGCTTTTCCAGTGATTCCCGCTTTCCTTTTGCTGACGTTCCAGGCCTGCTTTGCGCTGTCCATGTTTTACTGGGGATCTTTTTTTTTTCCTTCAAGATTTTTAATTTATTCATGAGAGACACACACACACAGAGGCAGAGACACAGACAGAGGGAGAAGTGGGCTCCCTGCAGGGAGCCCGGTGAGGGACTTGATCCCAGGACCCCGGATCATGATCTGAGCCAAAGGCAGACACTCAACTGCTGAGCCACCCAGGCACTCCTTACTGTAGATCTTTAGTTGCTACACTGTCCTCACCTCGTAATAACCCGAGTTACTCTCCACTCCTCCTGACCTCCCCTCCAAACAGCTCTCAGTCTAGAATGGATTCTACTTCCCTTAGCCACCACCTCAGAGTCCTTCAGGGAGAACCCAGATCTTATGAAAGACGATTCCCTCCCCCTCTCTGTCTCAGCCTTGTCCTGTCAGCCTTCTCCAAGAGCTGTCCCTTGCTGCACCAAGTCAATAAATATGATTTCATGGGATAAGTTTGTCCCCATTCCTGGTTAGTCTTGAGCTGCTCAGTCTTGAACATATGCATCAGAGCTGCCTGTTAAAATTGTAAGTCTCTAGGAGGTCATCTGATTCTGCACAGTACCTAGCATTAGTAGGCTGGTAACAGCTTTTCCTTTTTTTTTTTTTTTAAACATTTTATTTATTTAAGAGAGAGAGAGAGAGAGAGAGGGCATGAGCAGGAGGGGCAGAGGCAGAGGGAGAAGCAGACTCCCTGCTGAGCAGGGGCCTGATATGAGACTGGGTCCCAGGATCCTGAGATCACGCATAATCTGAGCTGAAGGCAGACCTTTAACCAACTGAGCCACCCAGGCTTCCCAGGCTGGTCGAGAGTTTTAATTCCCTCTACTTTCAAATATTCCTCATCAACAGTTCAGAGAGATGTCTCTTTGCCTTTTGCATGCCCGGTTGTTCCAGGTTTCACATATGAGTGAGATGTTGCAAATGCCTTGAAGGTTTTCGTGGCCACCATCTATTTAGATTTGGTTTCAGGGATAAACTTAGCTGTGGTTGAGCCTTTGTGTGATGCATTAGTGTCTCCCTAGTGTGATTTGGAACTGTATTAAATGAACATTGTTCACTTAACAAGGATTTATTGTGTGTGTGCTGTGTGCTGGGCTTCATGCTTGTCCTCTGGGAGCCAAACCACATGGCCCCTGTCCTTATGGACTTGGCTACCATTTAGCCTCTCTTGCTTGCTGTGATTGATTTTAACTCCATTGGCAATGATCTTCTTTGAGGAACTCATACATTTTCTTCGTCAAGGCCCTCATTTTGAGAG